GTCACTTTTTCCCATCATCATGATACAAAAAACCTCTGAAACCAAGGTGTTTGGCAATAGTGCGGCTTCAACCTACTGAAAGCGCAGCTTTTGCAATGAAAGAGAGACACCGCTTCCCAACATGATGAGCCAACCCACAAAAAACCTCTGAAACCAGTGTGTTTGGCAATAGCGTGGCTTCGACCTAATGAAAGCACAGCTATTGCAATGAAAGAAAGCCACCTCTTCCCAACATGATGAGCCAACCCACAAAAAACCTCTGAAACCAGTGTGTTTGGCAATAGCGCGGCTTCGACCTACTGAAAGCACAGCTCTTGCAATGACAGAGGGCCACCTCTTCCCAACATGATGAGCCAACCCACAAAAAACCTCTGAAACCAGTGTGTTTGGCAATAGTGCGGCTTCGACCTACTGAAAGCACAGCCCTTGCACTGATAGAGGGTGCCTTCTATCAAATTACGTCGTCGTTGTAGTAGTTGTAGTTGTAGTTGTAGTTATAGTTGTAGTAGTAGTAGTAGTAGTAGCAGCAGTAGTAGTAGTAGCAGTAGTAGTAGTAGTTGTAGTACTTTGTAATACTTTGTAGTATTAGTAGTAATTATTAGTAGTTTTAGTAGTATGAGTAGTATTAGTAGTATTAGTAGTATTAGTAGTAGTAGAAGAGGAAGAAGTAGCAGTAGTAGCAGTAGTAGCAGAAGCAGTAGCAGCAGCAGTAGTGATAGTGGTAGTAGTAGCAGTAGTAGTAGTAGTAGCAGTAGTATTAGCAGTAGTATTAGCAGCAGTAGTAGTAGCAGTAGTAAAAAGTGCCACATTGGAAAAACATATTTGCGAGGTGGATGAGGAAAGATCAGGCAATGTTGATATAGTTGTTGAATCAATTCATTGCTTAATTGATTGCAGTCTGAAGCACGCATATCAAAAAGTCATCGCGGCTGGCTGGGGTTTACTAATTGGGGGGGGCGTCCTTTTATTTGTGGGGGGGACACCGCTCAAGGGGGGTAGCCTTTCTGAGCTCCCAAAAACAGCATTTTTTAATTAAATTTTAATTAGAAATCGATCATTTCGGGGATGCGTTTTTTTTTCCAGTTTTGGCGTCTTGAAATTGCCACATTGCAAAAGTATATTATACTTGCGAGGTGGATGAGGAAAGATCAGGCAATGTTGATATAGTTGTTGAACTAATTCATTGCTTATTTGATTGCAGTCTGAAGCACGCATATAAAAAATTCATCGCGGCTGGCTGGGGTTTACTAATTGGGGGGGGCGTCCTTTTATTTGTGGGGGGGACACCGCCCAAGGGGGGCCTTTCTGAGCTCCCAAAAACAGCATTTTTTAATTAAATTTTAATTAGAAATCGATCATTTGGGGGATGCGTTTTTTTTTCCAGTTTTGGCGTCTTGAAACTGGCACATTGCAAAAGTATATTATACTTGCGAGGTGGATGAGGAAAGATCAGGCAATGTTGATGTAGTTGTTGAATCAATTCATTGCTTAATTGATTGCAATCTGAAGCACGCATATAAAAAATTCATCGCGGCTGGCTGGAGTTTACTAATTGGGGGGGGCGTCCTTTTATTTGTGGGGGGGACACCGCTCAAGGGGGGTAGCCTTTCTGAGCTCCCAAAAACAGCATTTTTTAATTAGATTTTAATTAGAAATCGATCATTTGGGGGATGTTTTTTTTCCAGTTTTGGCGTCTTGAAATTGCCACATTGCAAAAATATATTTGCGAGGTGGATGAGGAAAGATCAGGCAATGTTGATGTAGTTGTTGAATAATTAATTGCCCACTTGATGGCAACTTCACAAAAAACATCTGAAACCAGTCTGTTTGGCAATAGTGCGGCTCGACCTACTGAAAGCACAGCTCTTGCAATGAAAGAGAGTCACCTCTTCCCAACATGATGAGCCAACCCACAAGAAACCTTTGAAACCAGTGTGTTTGGCAATAGCGCGGCTTCGACCTAATGAAAGCACAGCTCTTGCAATGAAAGAGAGTCACCTCTTCCCAACGTGATGAGCCAACGCACAAAAAACCTCTGAAACCAGTGTGTTTGGCATTAGCGCGGCTTCGACCTAATGAAAGCACCGCTCTTGCAATGAAAGAGAGTCACCTCTTCCCAACATGATGAGCCAACCCACAAAAAATCTCTGAAACCAGTGTGCTGGCAATAGTGCGGCTTCGACGTACGGAAAGCACAGCTCTTGCAATGAAAGAAAGCCACTGGAAGTAATTAGAGGCAATGTCCAGAAGCAGGCAAAGGTAGCTAACATAACAGCAAGACATTGGCAGAGAAAGAGGCACAACACACAAGCATTCAAGCCAGCTGTGTGCCACCCCCGGGCTGCAAGACGCACCCTCCGGGAATCTAAGCCGCTGTGTGCCACCCCCGGGCTGCAAGACGCACCCTCCGGGAATCTAAGCCGCTGCGTGCCACCCCCAGGCTGCAAGACGCACCCTCCGGGAATCGAACCTGGGTCCATCAGCCCAAAGCCTATTCAATACCACTATGCCATGGGGGCTTGCCCTAAATGGCAAAAAATTGCTTTATAGAACCACTGACTGGGCC